ATGGCCTAGTGATGTCAAGGAAAATTAATTCCTTTATTCTGGTGTTGCTTTTTAGCAGAACTCAAATGGTACAGGACTAAATTTTACTTAAAAGCTGTAAGTTTTAGGCTGCACATGCAGAGGAATTGGATTCCGTAAAATCTAAATTTGATCATCAATTGAAATCGCTTCGAGACCGCCTGGAACATGAAGAGAATAGACGAAAAAAAGCGCATGAAGAGCTTCAAACGTTAAAGGTTACTTTTATTATGATTTAGGAAAAAGCGATTGTTCGGATGTCTTCGAGAGACGTTGAGCTATTGTAGAAAGAGTGAATAGCAGTCTTAAAGCAAATAACACAGTTTCGAAGGTATCGGCAAGGTTCCCTCGACATTTCCGCGACCTTGCTGAGTTTGTGTGTTGTGATCGCAGTGGTACGATATGATTGAGCAGGCAAGCATCTTCCACATGACCTGTTTGCATGAGGCAGAACGGACCAGTTAGACAGAAGTAATGCATCAGGGACGTCAGAATCATCACTGGTGCGCCAGCGTAACACAGGGCTATCGACAAGGAAGATGTTATTGCTGCTGATGCAGAGTAGCCGAGTTTTGTATTTGTTATTTCATGTTTATTTTGAATGGTGTATAGGCGTTTTAAGGGATGTGGTAAGTCCTACTGTTTGTATTGATTTTTTTTTGGTTGAATAAAGTTTTTGTGGGTTTACCAAGCTCAAGAAGTACCTCATTACCAGTGGTTCGGACTGACAGCACATCGTATTATAGCCTGGCATACTGGCACATTGTTTTCATTTGCAAGTTAAATTTTTTTAACATATGCATTTTACTCTTTTTGCCAGGTTAGTGAAAAGAAAATGGTAGGTAGAGAAAAGATGAAAGGCAAAGGACTGAAATAAATTTTTAAATAAATTTGATGTTTTTAGACTCTAAATGATCATTCGGTGGCGGCACTGAAAGAAGCCCATGAACAGGAATTAGCGCAAAAAATGCGGCATTACGAGGAACGAATCGCTTCACTTCGCGAAGAACATGCAGCTGAATTGCAGGATGAAAGAAATGCCACTAGGTTGGTTCTTTATTTTTATACGTTTTTCAAGTATGCAAGTGCAAAGACTCATATGTTGATGAGATCCATGGTGCGTGTTTATGTTTGTGTGTGTCTTTCTCTGTCTGCCTGTTCGGTATTTCAAGTCTGCAATCAAGCAGACTTCGGCGCTGAAATTGTGGCAGTGGGTTCCTCAGTTAAGTGCACCCCATGTTCGCGGTACCGATATTTATGCATGAGCAATGAAAGTTTTGGCGGG